ACCTAAGCAAATACATTAAGATTTGAACCGCTGAACTGCAGATAGCAGTCAGCTGAAGTGGCCTGCAGTACTCCACCCTAACCACTGCGCCACCTCAGCTCAGAGTAATTGACATGCTAAGCGTACCTCTGCATGTAGCTGAGTTTCACGCCAGGTACGATTTTATAGAAAAGTACTAATGTCTTGAATTGAGTTTAGCAAAGCATAAGAAATAAGTCAAGTTTCTTTGGTAAGAGCAAGATATATTCTCAAGTCATATTTTATAGGGAGACCAGTTATACTTAATGAAACGTGTACAGAGAAATACATTTAGCACTTAAATGTTAAGTTTTCAGGTTAATGTGGAAATATTCTCTAGAGTAGATAGAGTTTTAATAATTAAAAATATACCGTATATTTGATCAAGAACTTGTTCCCATTAAAATAAAGCCAGCTTTAAATCAAATGGCTGAGGATACGGAACTGATGGATGGATGACTGCGATTTAATGTGATGTGCAAGATAACAGATTTTGCTTTCATTTACATTACAATATTTAAACATAGGAACCATCAGTTATTTAATAAAGAATGTTTTATGGATCATGATTTGGCTGCTTACTGAAGGGAAAATATAAAAGAACTTGTCGCTTGTTAAATACTTTTCTTCACAGGCTTGTGTTATAAAATTCAAGAATCTTTGATGTCTAGTTATTAAATATTGCATAATGTGTAATACCAGTCTTTTACACAGTGTCTTTTACAAATTTCTGATTAGGAGGAAGCTCTACATGCTTTTATTCAGCCTGAGATCCTTGATGGTGCCAATCAGTATTTCTGTGAACGATGCAAGAAGAAATGTGATGCAAGAAAGGTAAACATATTTTGACCTAAATAATAAGGTGGGCATATATAAAATATATAAAATACAATTAATCATTGACAATTGGTTTCCCTTTCTATCTTGTAGGGATTGCGATTCTTGCATTTTCCTTATTTGCTGACCTTGCAGTTGAAAAGATTTGATTTTGATTATACCACTATGCATAGGATAAAACTTAATGACCGTATGACATTTCCTGAAGAGCTAGATATGGGTTCATTCATTGATATTGAAGATGAGGTAATAATCAGTATTTACTTGGATTATGTTTTCAGAAAAACCTTAATTGACTCTAAATTACAAACTTATTTCATATCAGATTAATTTGAAATTTAGTCACAGAATCAGGATCAGCTGTTCTGTATTGTCCTTTCTTTCCCCTTTCAAATGTCTTAAATGAAAAACATAGACTTTGTTTGTGCTACGTATACATACCAATACACACGCAGTAGTGCAACGTAGCAAGCAATAAGGAGAAGATGTAAGACTTATATTTCCTGAAGTGCCTCCTTGCTATGTAATTGTAAAATATGCTCATTTCTAAGTATTAGTGTGTAGTGAGAGAGAACATATGAATCCATTAAGTTGAACTAAAATAAGTCTGTAGCATACTTTTACAAAGGAATTTAATTCTCACATTCTACCCAGATATGCACTGTTGATTCCACTTTACAATTTCAATTATTTTGTAAGGCAATTATTTTGTCTTACAATTTTGTCTTTAATTAGATAATTATTTTGTGCAAATCCTTATTGTTTATAAACTAATCCTTATGACTTGTTTTAAGAAGTCTCCTCAAACAGAGAGCTGCACTGATAGTGGAGCAGAGAATGAAGGCAGTTGTCACAGTGATCAGATGAGTAATGACTTTTCTAATGACGATGGCATTGATGAAGGAATATGTCTTGAAAACAATAGTGCTGCTGAAAGAATTGCAAAAGTTGTCAGTGAAAAGGTACCTTATATAATTTTATGCTATTTAAATATGCATTTTAAAGGTAAAAATATTACATAGTTACATTCTAAGATTTATTACTATGTATTGTACACAGTAACACAAAATATTGTTTGTCTTACCAAAACTTGTCAGTAAATTGATAGTACAGTGTTAGCTGATTTTTCAATTAATTGCAAAATAACCTGAGGGGAGGCCATTAAACCTTTTTNTTCTAAGTTGTTTTTGATGTTTGGCAATGTTATCCTTTTTATAGCTTGTATAGACTGTGTTGTTGTGGTTTGAGTGGTCACATTCTACTTGATAAGGTTTCATGGGTATCCATTTTCTTGGAAGATGTTGTATAAGCACTCTTTTTCCTATTCTTGTGTTCTGGGTTGCTGCAATACATTTGTGCTTATCCCACAGCTCCTCTTGTGGAAGATTGGGTTGTTACTTTGATATTTGAGCACTTGGTTAGTGTGGCTAATTTTTTTAATAAACTTCTGTTTCTAATTTGCCTTTATTTCCTCTGCTGATAAGAATATCCAAGAAAAATAGTTATTGTTTTCTTCTTTCCCTTTCCTTTTTTGAAGATGCTGTTGATTGTTTCATGTGTCCCTTTGTCCTTTTTTGTTATGAAAAAATGCAATCTACTAGATTCATATTTTTGGTGGAAATGCTATTGTTTCTAGATGCTGCAGTTTCTATTATGAGTCCTGTGACTGGTGATTCCATTGGTGTTCCTCTGATTTGTTGGCTAAAACTGAAAATAGGTAGTGAGGCAGAGGTTGATGAAGTCCATGATCCTGGCTATTTCAATCTTAATGTATTTGCTTAGGTTGGGTGTGTTGTGTAGTACTGCTGCCATGTATTTTTATCATTAGTTCTCTGTCTGTGGGTGTAAAAATGTTCTGTGATATCAAGGGAAACCATAATCTCGTCTTGTTCTATGTTAGCCCTTTGATTTTCTGAAGATAGTATAATGGGGAGTTGATAGAATATTTCTTCCCCTCATCACTTGCATCGTTAGATAATATGGATGTTCTAAAGGGAACAGCAATAGCAATAGCAGTTAGACTTATATACTGCTTCATAGGGCTTTCAGCCCTCTCTAAGCGATTTACAGAGTCAGCATATTGCCACCACAGTCTGGGTCCTCATTTCACCCACCTCGGAAGGATGGAAGGCTGAGTCAACC